AAAAGGAGAGGGAAAACTTTTTATGTTGACATTTTTCTCATCTTACAGCAAAATGTGGATTTTATTTCACACGGGTTACAGGTAAGAACCGTCCCCTCCGGTTTCCTGACCCTGGCTCCAGCGCTCTCTTCTCTACACCCAGAGTGTCCCCAGGCTGCTCCTTTTGGACCTGTGAGCGGGAGTGGGTAGGGCTGGAGCCGGGCCAGCATGCAGGGGGCAGGGAGACAGCTGTGCAGGGCGGCAGCCGCTGCCCAGAGCTGCCGTGAGAACTGGGGATCGGTCACCACACCACATTGCGAGATGCCACCAGAAGAGGAAGACTGCGGCCGTCTTGGGCGGCAGGGACTGACAAATCCCCTGCTCGTGGCCCCAGACTCCCCACTGTCCTTGGGGGCCTTGCGGGCCAGCACTCAGGCATCCTCACGGGTGAGCTTTCTGAGGACCCCGGCTGCTCACGGAGGGGCGCCCACGTCATGACACGAGGGTCAGTGTCTGGGGAGCGGGCACCCTCTAGGAGGGTCTGGCCAAAGCCTAGTCGGGAGGATGACCCTAGCTAGGTCACCGCAGTGTGGCGGCCCTGGGCAGAGCCCAGAGAGCAACACTGGACTCTGAGGCCAAGACGGGACGCAGAGCCTGGTGCAGGGAGATGTCAGGCAGGGCCAGCCCTCTGAGAGCCCGCAGACACACTGCCCCCGGGAGGCCGCGGGAGAACCCAGCCTGCTCCCGCCCGCGCTCCCGCCCTCTGCTCAGGCCCCGCCCTGACCAGCTCCTGCCGCCAGGACCTCACCTTCTTGTCGAAGCTCATTCCTTGCTTGGCTTCTGGGATGCCCAGCACTGCTTGCCACTCTTATCCATCACTTTTCTGCCACCTAACTGTCCCCGGGGCTCCTCCCTGTGCCCTCTACTCTTCCCCCTTGGTTGGTGATTCTGAGGCTTGGCTACCCTTTGGGATCACCTGGGTACCTTCCCATCCCAGAGATAAGAGCCTGGAGGTCCCCACCTGCTCTTTCAGGGTCCCCTCGGCTCAACAACCCCACCCTAGAATCGTCCACTGGGTCTCACGTCACTCTGGGCCTCCGCTGTCCTGCGTCACCCCCACGTCCACTCTGGAACTTCTCACTCGCCCGCCTGTGCCCGTAGCCCGCACCTGTGGCTCCTTCCTCCTCATGAAGGGCTTTCCCTCACTCCTGGGTGGGTGTGGGTGGCTCTCCACCCTGGCTGTGGGCTTTGGCCCCGTACAGTGATCCTCTTTCCCAGGATCACCTGGCTGGGGAAGGCCAGGTGATGTCAGAGATACAAGCAGGAAGAGGGTGTCCGAGGCCACGGTGCTCCCTGGGCCCTGCTGAGTGAGCCCTGGCCGGGGTGTCAGACAGAGCTGGGTCCAGCGTGCCGCACACTGGAGTGACTGTCTGAGTCCTCTGTGCTGGGTCCTCATGGGTGAAATCATTGTGACCACCCCCTTCCCACCACTCGGGCGGGCTCTGTGTGGCCCACACAAGACAGCCAGGCTGGCAGAAGCGGGCATGGTGCCTGGGAGGCGCTCAGGACCTAGCCAGGCCAAGCCAGAGTTCTTGTGAGATGTTAACTCTTCCCAGGTGGGTGGGGGGGGGCACGGTGTGGTGGGTGGGGT